GGCCAGAGCGCCCAGCTCTCCCAGCACCAGCGCGTCCACAGCGCGCAGTAGGGCGCTCACCAACCCGGCCCACCTCGGCCTCTGTGCCCACGCGGGGCAGGGGCGGCACACCTGCCCACGGGTTGTGAGGCCTCCGCCCGCCGCAGGGCCCGGCCCGGTAGATGCTCAATAAACAGTAGAAGGAACCTGGTCTGCGTCTCCGCGCGGGTCCCTCTCCAACAACTAACTCCACACACCCACCCTTCCCACTGCGACCTCGCGGTCCCCGAGAGCCGTGACCCCCGAAGAGGTGGCTCCTAGCAGCGCCTGCACGTCTGTGGGTGCCTCCTCTTAGGACTCCAGTGCAGTTTGCACAAGACACACACACCCGCTGCCCGAGCCCGGTGCCGGGAGGGCCTGGAAGGCCTAGTTCTCCTTGGCTGGCAAAGCTCATCGGATGCAGACAAGCAAGCCGGTGCCCGGCAGCCCAGATACGGCCTGGCGCGTGTCTGTCAAACTTTAAACCTGGGAAGACATCCCTGAGGTGAAAAAGCTGGAAGGTTTTATCTGGAAATACACATTCTTGCAGACTTTCCCGCATCCTCCTACGGAAACAGGGTGGGGGCAGGCCCCAGGCCAGTTCCCAGCCCTCCAGCGGGCATTCCCACCACCACCCCCTGCCCCCCCGGGCTGCACGTCCACCCTCACTCCTCTCCATCGTGTCCTGCCTTCCCGCCAGGCACTGGCCCTGGCTTCCCTGGGGCTTTGCAGGTGCCAAGCGCTTGCTGCCTCCCAGAGGCTCAAGCCCCTCCGCAGGCAAACCGGCTGTGCCCTCTGCACCTCCGGTGGCCGTAAGGGTGACAAAAAAGACGCAGCTGCACCGCTTCCAACCCGGCCCCCGCCTCCGTTCGGCCACCCCCTCCCTGGTCCGGCCCCCATGGCCGCCTTTGCCCAGAGTTGTTTGCACGGCTGAGTCGAAGCCATGACGTTAGCCCAGCGTCACCTCTCCAAGGAGCCCACTCCCTGTGCCCAGAGACGGACACGCGGGCCAGGCTGGCCAGAACCGCCACCCGAGACTCTGGCTGGGAAAAGGATGGTCATCCACCCTCACGAGGAGACCAAAGACAAGAGCAGAGCGGCCAGCAAGAACGGGGAGGGAGGGCCCTGACTCCCAGGACCAGTCCCGCCTGCAGCCTGGGAACGCCGGCGTGCACCCCCGCACATCGCCAGCACCCCGCTCTCCTGGG